ATACCGTAAGACGGCGTGACCATGGACCAATCACGAATGCTACCCCCTCCCCAACCCCCCTGTTACTCGTAGCTAGACTACAAAAACGTGCCAATGCTTGCTGGTCTCTCATGTTCTCTAATGATGGTCTCTTATGTGAAGCCGAACGCTCAAACTAATGCCATTGCTGTCCCATTGATCGCACCTTTGTCTTCTTTACGACAAGAATCTGAGCCACGCATATTTTCTTCTATTCGTGTTGAATTGTGTAATAGGCATTTGCAGTGCTCTTTTAAATCTGAACATATTTTATAGAAAGTATCCCAAAAAAGCATTCCTTCCTGTACTCATTTGGTATAAAAGTTCGCATTCTTCAACTGTTATACTTGGAGTTAGGGTATACGCCACAGGGTTATAAACCGCGCTGGAAGCTAAAAGTGTCTCCAAATTGGTAGACGGTACTTGAAAAGAGGTAGACGCTATCGTTGGGTTAAGGACTTTTTAGCCTGACGTTTCGGATTCCAGCTCCAACACATCTTCAGAGGCATCCTCAGGTGACGACCCGCATGCCGGCGATCAAAAAATTACCACACTCAAGGGCAATTATTCTCGATGAAGGGGGGACCGTTAATTATCCCAGGTACATCATAGCATATAGATTTGTCATTTAACTACTGGAACTTCTTGTGTATGGAGTAGCCATATCTAATGCCGTCTCTGAAGATGGTTTCAAGCTGGAATAACATTCTTGTCCTAATGATCGCCTCTTCTTCTTCTCAATTACCTTCTGGAGCTCAGTTTCGCAGATGCTGAAATTAGTACACTTCTGCCCTTCTGTCTGACCAAAGCACTCTACCACAGAGAGCAAGGCGGAGCTTGTGTATACGCCCCCACAAAACCCTCGATAAGAACGATATATGAACCTGTTTCGGCGTACACGATGTGTGAATATTTAAAATTATGTTCGTAAGTGCTGCAATGTTCAGTCCCGACTAGCGATTGTCTATATATCTAAGGCTACAAAACTCACTTTTGCCTGTCTCGTAAGCAATTTCATCTTTTTCTTCCTATTACTGGGATGGAATATATATATATCCGGCCCCCCATCCCCATCCCCATCTTCTTTGGGGGATGGGGAGCGGGATAATTTATCTGGACCTCGTATCT